GAAAAACACATTTAAAAAATTCATCAGCTTACGTGCAGCACAGGTGGTTGTTTAGCATAATAACAGTCTGGTACATTATACTCTGGTCCTCCTTTTGTGGGGCCATCAGACCATGGGGACACAAACTTCTTATGAAGGTCCTCCCCTGAGTTCAAATTCAGCCCTAGTGTTGTCAGATCAATTCCTAGAGCAAGGGAAGTCAAAACAGGATCGCTCATCCTTATGACACTTAACAAGCCAAGCAAACCAAATTGATCAGGAGCAGTCTGTGTCCCCTGCAGAGACTTCATGTTTGGATCTCTAAATGATTGTTTGACAGCTGACATCTGCTGGAAGCGAAACTGAGACTGATTCAGTTGTTGATACTGTTGAAGAAGCTGGTCATACCCTATACCAGAAACTGAATTCAGATTGTTTCCAGATCTCAATCCAATGCTAGACGGTCCACCATTCTGAACCTAGAAGAGAAGAAAATCACTTGATATTAAATAATATACTAATGCAACACAGTAGACATGACAACTGATACATAATAACATACCTGTGAATGGTAGCTTGCATGCGAAGATGGAAAGAGATCCGAACCATGTAAATGAAGAAGATCTTGATTGTTTGCATGGCCAAAGGAGGACCCGCTGCCACTAACAGATGGACCATGTTGCTGTTGATGATGAGATGAATATGATCCACCCAAGCTGAATCCAGTAGACCTTCCCATCTGTATTTTTCAAGGGACTACACATGAGCTGTAACACAAAAAGCCATTTGATGCTATGAGGAGAATTAGATTCCGAGTCTGTTAAGTGAATACTCACAGGAAAGTGTTGGGATTGCATCATAGAGACTGTATTGTCATGCAGTTGTTCTTTCTGATGCAGATCCATTGAAAAGTCAGTACCGCCACCTGCTTAAGAATAAAATGTTGATCTGAAATACCAAAATATTACAACAGAAGAGCCATAAGTATACTATATGCCAAAAAGGACTAACTGGCCTCCAGCATATGATCTTTTCATAAGGTAAAGTGCTAACTTTTTTTTTTTTTGGGCTCAAGCTACTGTTAACAAATTAGCTTGTGTAACAATTTGAGAGAGTATTAGGCTATTAGCCAGTCCTCAGACCACATTACTTTTAAACTATCCTCAGTATTCATACCAAACACATAAGCATGTAGTCTGAGGCCCAAAGGCATCATTCCAAGCTTAGAGCAAAGTTGCAGGTGACATTAAGATACTCAATCCACTTAAAATTTGACTGTAACGATATTTGTTCTTAAAAATTGAATCTCAGCCAAGTTCAACTTGCCAGTGGATTTTACTCTCAAGTGACAATCATTAAGTCTTGTTATTCATTATTTATCTGATAACTCTTGCTACACTGACAACTTCTCTAAATTGTTTATTTATCGTGAATGAGTTGACACAGAATCAAGTGTCAGTGTCGGCGTGGCTACCTGTGTCACAAGTAATCTTCCAAGTTTGATAAATGATTCTTGTAAAGTGTGTCCTTGTGCATTTAAAGACTAAAATACCATCCAATATGATGAAATTCCACTAAATAGTGTCCTTGGCAGGTCTTAAGTAATTAGATGGTTAACTAGAATATATAAATACCCCAAATAGCTTATAAAAAGAAATTGGGTGTTTAATAGAAATTAATGTATTTCCAAGATTTTATGATTGTAATGTACCTATCTTAGTCCTCCTTTTTACTTAAAACAAATCCACATGATAAAAACACCATGGAAATAACTCATAAATTCTCATCTCCTACGAGCTTAAGTATCAAACAAGCGACATCTAGTAAAGTATCTTCTCAAAATTTTGTCCACTTACACAAATGGAATAACTCCAAACAAGTTTTGATTAAATTTTTCTTAGATTTTCAATATAAAACAAAAACATTTATTCGATTAACCCTTCTGAACACTTTTTTGGTTAGAAGAAACAATTCATAGCAGGTTCAATTTGGTTTCTGTTTACATTACGGTTTTGGGGAAATTTTCTTTTGATCACTCAAGGAAGTACAACGGATGTAGAGTGGAGATCTTTGATCATCCTTTGTAGTTTATGGTAAGGCTAAATATTACAGAATGGTTGACAACTTGACATTTATCATGTCATCAAATTTTCAGTTAGATCTAGCAAGACTGGGCTTTTCAATCTAATTTGGAGAAGACAGCAAATAGTTTTCTTTTTCTTATTTAAGTTTTTTCAAAACCTCGAAACCTTAGTGAAAAACAGAATACTATACTATCTATATATGGTATACTGGAATGTGATGCAGCAGAAAATGAAGTACCTTTAAATCCTGGTAAAGCAGGAAAATCCTCATTTTGGATGCTGAACTCTTGGTTTTGTTGAACAATAGAGCTAACACCTTGTTTTCGCATCGAACCTGAGTCGCAACAAATAGTTCAGATGATATTCTTTTGCCAAAGGAAGCATCTGAAGAAAACTTATGATAAAAAGGTAAAAACTCTACCCATTTGTCCTTGATGACCTCCGGCAGAACCAGGGCGACCACTCAACCGAGGGAAATCATTTATGTCAAAGGGAGCACTTTCGTTGGAGCCCAAATCATTTAACATTCCCATAGAGTTTAAGGAATTGTTTCCTGATTGGACTTGATTTTGTGACATATGGCCTCCAGAATAAGAATTTCCAAGCATAGACATCACCTGCGGACCTGAGTATGATACAAGTTACTTCTTGCATTAGACATACAGTCACAACCTTACAAATTTACAAATATTAACCATTTTGACATTTTCCCTTGGACAGATGTAACATGCCAACTGCATTAATTCAATATAGATCAAGGTGTGAGAAAACCACAAAGAACTATGTAGTACCGAATCAGTGAAATAGAAAACCTAGAAAAATCCATTCAACCGTATATTTTTATGCATGGAAGTGTATAGTGCGAGGTAATTTTTAATAAATAATGCATCTTCTCTCAAAACTAAATAAGGCACCTTACTTTTAACCAAATTATCCACATTGCAAGCTGAGACAGTTTCATTCCTGGATAAGAGAAAAACTAACTCAAATATGGCATGCTTTATCTTATTCAGCGGACAACTAAGTAATTTTAATTTTTTCTTTCTTTCTTT